CTAAATTATTTTGTCATAATTATTCTTGCTATGATGGTATGAATCTCACATTTTTAATCAGTTGTTGGTTGTTTTTTTTCCCCCATGAACTGTAAACTCTCCTATTGTGGATGGGTGGGTCCCTGATAACAAGGCTCTGGTTAATCTAGCAGTGTTATAAAACAGATCAGATTTGCAGCCTGAAATTAATAAAAATATAATTAAATATATGAAGGCAAAACAGCAGATAATTTAATCTTTCTGCTATGATTCAGAAGTCATATCAGGGTCATCATTATAAACCTCAATTACAGTATTGCAGAAGTGCAGAGAGATTGGTGAGTGGCACTCGGGTTCAGAGTGTCAGACAGAGCAGATCTTACTGCATGTATTTACGAAGATGCAACTTCATAACATCAGGTACCACATTCGCTGTTCTACCCCAATACACAGATCCTTGTACAAGCTCTTGGGGAGTCCCGTTTACTTAGTTTCAGCTGATGAAACCTGTTCTTCTAGCCTACAACAAATAATCAAGACTTTTTAATTTTCATAGGATTATCCTCTCAAAAAGCTTCCACCTAAATAGGGACCCAATCATATTTTAAATTCTATTTCTGAATATATTTGGATGTACTATTCCTTTTGGTATAACCTGTTATAGCTTCCATTTATAGTTTACGCTTCATTTTCTTTTCATACTGTACTTCATTGTCTAACCAAATACACTGATCATCCCTCCTTGTCCCATCAAATTATTGGAGGGTCTTTTAAGGGGTTGTTTGTATATTGGTAACTAATTATTTAATTTATTTATTTAATTCTTTTGGAGGATGATTCGCCCTGGACCTAACACCCACTACCAATCCTCCTCTTTCTGCCGAGGAAGACTGGCCCTGAGCTAACATTTGTGCCCATCTTCCTCTACTTTATATGTGGGATGCTGTCACAGCATGGCTTGATAAGCAGTATGTAGGTCCATGCCCGGGATCCGAACTGATGAACCCCACACCGCCAAAGTGGAGTACATGAACTTAACTGCTACACCACTGGGTTGGCCCCTAAATATTGTATTTTTAAAGAGGAGACTATCATTAAATTAAAAATTCCTACAGATCTTGGTTGTTTCTAAAAAGTTCCTTTACAGTGGTCAAAGCAGTCACAATATCTACAGATCTTTGCAGTATTTCAGTATGTGTACAAGATTTTCATTAGGAATGGGAAAGAATACCGTATTTACTTGCTTGCCACAAATATAGTGAAGATAAGAGGAGATGCGACTTTTTTTTCTTTTCCTTCCACACTTACCAGTGACTAAATGAAGGCTTGAAAGATAGGTTGAAAAACTCTAAATGACCCTATTTACACATATTTTAGTATACGACTTTGGGCTTCAAGGTAATCTTTCTTTTTTAAGATTGGCCCCGAGCTAACATTTGTTGCCAATATTTTTTCTTCTTCTTCTCCCCAAAGCCCCCCAGTACATAGTTGTATACTCTAGTTGTAGGTCCTTCTAATTCTGCCGTGTGGGACACCACCTCAGCATGGCTTCATGAGCAGTGCTAGGTCCGCACCCAGGATCTGAACCAGTGAAACCCTAGGCCACCAAAGTGGAGTGCACGAAGTTAACCACTTGGCCACGGGGCTGGCTCCTGAAGGTAGTCTTGATGTCACAAGATTGTTGCTGTAGCTCCAGCTATCACATCCATGTTCCAGACAAGAATAGGGCTAAAGTCAGCCCTGTCAGTACCCTACACCAGGCACACAAATAAGAAATTTTCCTGGAAGTTCCATACAACACCTTCCATCCACATACCATTGACCTATACTCAGTGATCCCTATCTGCAAGGAAGGTTGTGAAACGAAATTTGTCACTGGGCACAAAATCAATTTTCTGTTACTAAGAAAGAAGGAGAGAAAGGGAATGGAATAGGCAACCAGCTTTATCTGCCGTATTTTCTTTTTTAGCATGTTTCCTTATGCGAACTGTGAACTCATAGAAGGTTGAGATTATATCATACTCATTTTAGTAATCCCAGAACACAGCACAATATCATAGCTTGTTATGTTTACTATGTTTATTAATTAAAGGAGAAAATGGAAATCTTAGCTAATTATAGATTAGAAGGAGGCAGATCGAAGACAAGTATAACAGGTAAATAGACAGTATTAATTTATCCCACTTATATTGCCATATTGTTATTTCAACTAGTATTAACTGAGCTCTCAGTCTGAGCCAGGCCCTGTGTCGGGCATAGGGGATACAGGGATAAACAGTGTTCCGGCTTTGAGAAGGGGTAGGGGTGAGACTGGGGGAGAAGGGTGGGGGCTCCACAAGCAAACAAGCAACTGCAGGGTAACGTGGCGAGGGAACTGAGACGTGGTCCTGACCCGCCGTTTGAGCGGTCAGGAAGCTGTAAGCAGGCTGGGTGAAACATGGAGTGGGAAGAGAAGGAGGGTAAGAGGAGGAAAGACCGGCAGAGCCAGATAATAAAGAACCTGAGTTACATGCAGAAGTGCAGAGTTTATTCCTGCCAGCACACAAACCTATGTGTTGTGATAATATGTTTGTTCCTATGGCCCCCTTGGTCTTCCTCATGACCGGATTTCCCAACACTTTGCCCTTGATGGATGAGACCCACAGACAATCCCTTTCTGGGTGCGAGCTGTGTTCCACGGACTTTATCTGAGCATGGAGCGACAGTCTTCCCAGCATCCCTTCTTCCAGGGTGGTGTTCCCTGGTGGACCAGTTTGGGAAACGCTGGTCTAGAGACATACTTCTCAAACTTGGCAATATGACTCCCCTGGACACCATAAAAAACAGTTGTCGGGGATTTCCAGAGAAAGGGGTTTATCTCCAAGAACTGCAGATGTGAACCTGATTTTCTTAGTGTGCTAACACTCTGGGTCTCAGTCACACAGGTCACTGGAGGGATACAGGCTTAGTTGAACTAACGAGTCACCACTTCGGCAATCTTATAGTCAAACAGATTACCCCAATGACTATTTGACTAGTGATGAAGACAGCCACCTCTTCCTGCAAATAATTCAATTCAGTTCATAACATATATGGCTATAAATGGATCAACATCAATTTCTATTTTCTTTGCTTATCTTTGAGAAAGAGCTGTCCACCTAACCATGAAGCAGAGGTGATGAGAGAGAGAGAGAGAGAGCGATGAAGACGTTATGCAGTTGGCCTTGAAGATAGAGGAAGAGGCCACAAGCCAAGGAATGCAGGTGGCATCTAGAAACTGAAAAAAGGAAAGGAAATGGATTCTCCCCTAAGAGTCTCCAGATAGAACACAGCTCACACCTTGATTTTAGGATTTCTGACCTCTAGAACTGTAAGATAACACATTGTTGTTTTTGGCCACTAAGTTTGTGGTAACTTGTTTACAGTTAGCAATGGGAAACTAAAAACATATAACATATCTCTAGGTGCTGTTCCCGCATATATACCCTGGATCATTCCCTCTGTTCTCCACATAACTCTCTCCCTTGGGATTCTCCTCTTTTCTGAATCCATCCTCTGACCGTTCTCTTAAAAATCAAATCTGATTATGTCACAGGGTTTGAAGGGCATGAATACTCACTGATTCTGGTTAGGTTATTTCTGGGAATATAATTAGAAACCAGAAATAAGGGTTGTTTACAAATCCTGTCAAGGGCATTTGGTGTGATCTCAGGAAGGCTTAACAGGGATGTGATTATAGCTGAGAAAGCTTAAAGCAAATTGCACTATATGCTGAAGAAAGAATGCATTAACCACATGGAGCTGAGGTAGGGAAGAGATTTTTCTGGGTTTATCCAGGACCAAATGGAGGTAAATTCACTGACTTTGGCAGCCATCAGTACGGCACACTCTAGTCTGGAGGCGGGGATACCTCACCAGATACCTGGATCCCAGGGAGCGCTTCTCCTAAATAGTGGACATGGTTATTCAGTCATAGTAAATCTCATCCTGATTTAAATGCTGGTCACATGAAAGTTGGTTGTCAACTCATTCACCTCTGGATGCCCCATAAAATCGAGCTCAGGACCCTACCGGTGACCAACAGAAACTACATATAAGATTCTTCTACTCTGTAAGATGCTGAATCCTGGTTTAACAGTAGCCACACTTACTCACCCCTGTTTCAAAACCTCCACAAAAGAGGGATGACTATCACAGCAAATAAAAGGGAGGAAAGTTCTAAGAAGGAAGGAGACGGCAGCATTGGCAAATGCCACAAAGGGCACGACCAGGTGGGGATTAAATTTTTCCATTAGATTTGGCAATTAGGCGGTGACTGATGTTGCTCAGTGGAGTGAAAGCCTGACAAGGGAATGAGAGTTTAGGAAATGCTGACCTTAAGGCTGGGAAACTCCTCCGAGAAGAGGATCCCTGCCCTACAGCGTCAGCTCTAAATAAAATTCCCTCAGGATTTGCATTTGAATCAGAGAGAACTCTTCTGGTCCCCAAATCTGCCAAAGTTGATTAGCCCGTGCTGAGTCTTACCAGGCTCTCTCCTCAGTTCACCTGAGGTAGAGGAACTAATGAGCTGTGCAAAAACTAAAGGTCAAAAAACAAGAAGCAAAAGGTCCACGCACCCGGACTCAAAACGAACAAACGAAGCCCTGAGCAAGAGGAGCCATAAAAAGGGCTTCCAATTTAACCTCCTTGTTTTGATGATTTAAAAACGAGTGTCTGGAGAAGCAGAGGGGGCATTTTATAACTGGAATGCTGTCTTGCATCTCATCCATTATCTTCACCCCATCTCCCTCCAAATTAATAGCTTTTGCCGAGTTGTGGGCAGGTGTGAACCCAAGCACGGACCAAAGATGGAATTTTGTCCAGTGGCTAGAGTAATCGCATGCCACACAAAAAAAGGTGGGATGGTGAAAACCTCCACATCTGCATTTCCAGATGAAAACACTGGTTTCCTTCCCTGACTATTTGCTCTATTTCAAGGGGGGGTTGGGGGGAGGAGCGGTTTTCTGAATCTGAGCCCAGCTCTTTCTAAACTTGGTTACTCACGGCTGATTCATTCGCTGTTTTTCGTCTCCTGCCTCTGTCATTGCCTGCTGCTGAGAAGGGGGTCGCTGAATCACTGCCACTCCAGCTGCAAAGCAGTTCAGACCCAGTCCTGGGGGGACGGAAAGGCGTGTTTTTTTTTTTTTGTTTTTTTTTTTAACGCGTCTGCGAAAAAAGCCTCCTACTTTCCGGGGTGACCGGAGAGGGCAGTTTTACAAGTTTCAGCCCCGGGCTATGGAAGATTTGGCTCCCGGGAGAGTCAGCGAGGCCGCAGTCGGCTCACCAGTTCTGGCTTTCCGGTCGGCAGGCCCGGGTGGCCGGGGCGGGGGTGGCGGGCCGAGCTCGGCCCGGTGGGCCCCAGCGGTCGCCCCGCGCTCCCCGCCGCTTTAAAAGCTCCCACAATGCAGCGCTGGCGTCCCAGTTCCGTTACCCCATCTCTGCGGGCGCCGGCGAAGCGGCGGGGCGCGGGCGGGCGGGGGGCCGGCGGCGGCGGCAGCAGCGGCTGTAACCCGAGCGCCCGGCCGAGGGGGGCGCCCCCGCGCCGCTCCGCCCGCGCGCTCAGCCTGCCGCCCGGAGAAGGGGCGGAGCCGCCGGGCGGCCCGGCCCGGCCCGGCCCCCAGCCCGGCCCCCAGCCCAGAGGCACCGGCCGCGGGAGCTCGCCGGCCGCCAGCTCGGCCGCCCGCGCTCGCCCGGCGCCCCGCACCGCGCCCCGCGCCCCGCGCCCCGCCGAGCCTCGCCCGCCCGCCCGCGGCAGCCGCGGCGGCGCAGGGGGCGGCTCCTGCTCGCGGTGCAGCGGCTGCCCGCGCGCTCGCAGCCCCGGCACCGCGCCCGGGCGGCCACCCTCACCTAGCGCCGGCCTCGAGGTGCGCGGCGAGGGCGCGCCGGGGAGCCGGGGCCTCGGGCCGGTGCGGGGCGCGCGGCCCGTGGAGCGCCGCCGAGGGAGGTGCGCGGCCGCGGGCAGGCGCTGCGCGGCCGCCGGGCTCCGGGCGCCGCCGCGGCCGCCCGCGTCCCCCGTGCCCCGGCCGGCCCTGCCGGGCGGCCTGCGGGGGCGGCGTAGTTGCGAAACTGAGTGAGTATTAACTTTACTCGGCGGCCGCGGTTTCTGGGCTGCGTCCGGGTCCCCTCCCTGCTTTTCCTACAGCCTCGGGGCTCCTCCTCCCCGCCCCTCATTCCCATCTCTGCACCGGGGGTTTCTTCGCCCTCCCGGTCCCCGGGCCCGCTCCCGCCGCCTCCCGTCCACCTTTCCCGGTCGTGTTCCCCTTTGCGCCTTCTCCCCGCCACACACACACGCGCCTCGGACTGAAAAGTACGAGCTTGTTCCATGCTTCCTCCCGGTGTCCTTGGCAGGGGAGTTTAGAGGCCACTTTTGTTGGGCAGGGAAATGTATGTCTGGCTTCTTTAATATTTTTCTTTCCAAATGGAAATCCGATGCTCGGCTGGCCGGGTGGTGGTTTGGGGAACGCTTATTTTCTCCTTTGAAAGAAATGATTGGTTTATAGATTCTTAAATTTTGTTTGAACGATTAACCATCCTCCGTCCCTGTTCCCCCTTGCCGCCCACCGGTCTGGGGAGAGGTGTCCAGCAGAGGGGACTTCCAAAGTAATTCGTTTTTGCAAAGTAGAAACTTTCAGAGGGTAGATCGCAGAGAGCTTAGTAAGATTCAACCTGAAGGGACGTGAGCTTTGATTGTGGGTCCTTGTACGGCACTGGGTCTTACAAGCCGAGTACCTGGGTTCGTAATCGAGTGTTGCGTTGTTACTTCAGCATCGTAGAGCCGCATGGTGTTGCTCAACCACTACTTTCTCAGCATCAAATGGCATTTTGAGCAATGCAACCGTTGCATATAATTGCGGGTCAATTTTGCCCCCGATCTTTAGGGATTTAGAAGGGAAATAGATGCAAGGCACATTTCGTAGCTGATTTAAACCCGTCAGGTTAGCCCTGTCAATGCGTAAAAGCATTGCATTAAAAAAAAATTCCTCCAACCTAGTGACAGCTAGGACGAACATTTGTGGATTTCCAGTATAATATGGCTCAGCCGTTCTTCATTAGATCTGTTGTGTCCTCAGGAAGCACCTTTAAATGTGTGTAGATCTCTGCTTTTCTGTCGGTTGGATCAACCACTCGTTCTAGTAGGAGGCACCAGGTAGGTTTTTTTTTTTCCAAGTCTTTCATCTTTAGGTTGCCAGGAGTTGGCAATCATGTTATGAAGGAACAGAAAAATGGAAAGCTTTCGTAATGGATTTTTCAGCATCCTGTCCTTTGCCTGGATGAGGCTGTAATGAATGCCAGCTAGCCCTCTGCAGGGAGAGGTGCCTGGGGGACGCAGGACACAGCGCTATCATTGTGGAGGGTGGTTTGTGTGAGTTTTTATCTTTTAGTGGGCGTATTAATAGTACTTTTAATCTTATTTATCTCCGTAGGAAACTCTTCTAAAATCATGAAAATTACTTGTGACCATACCCCACTTTAAGAGGACTGAACATAATTTGATAATTATTCTGTCGAAAGATCAGAGCCCCAAAAATATAGTTCGTAACATAGATGAGAAAACCTTTCAAAAATCTCGTACTTCCTCATTTCCTCTCCTTTTAAGAGTCTCAAGCTGGTACTTTCAATAATAGACACAACTGGCAGTAATGCATTGGGTTCTTGCTGGGTTCATTCATCAAGCCTAATTTCTGGGCTCTAATAGTTGAGGGGCACTTCAGAGAGCCCAGAGAGGGAGGAAATCATGGTGCTGTGCAGATAAGAAAGGCACTTCAGTTTGCTGAAGTGCCCACATGCTACAGGGAAAAGCAGTTAAAAAGAAGAGAATGTTTAGGTTGTTTTTAGAGTGCATGTTTACTGAATTTGGCATTTGGTTGAGATATTGGGAATTGCAGATTTTAAATTCTACGTAGTTGTATCATTTCTTTTTGCTTAACATTTTATTTTTTTTTTAAAGTTTTAATTTTTTAATGTGAATCTCAATGCTTGGATTTTGTATCCTTCTGTACTGGGTGGCTGGCATTAATTTTTGACTTGAATGCCTTGGTCATTTTGAGAAATGATTAGTTTTTCAAAATGTCTTACTTATTAAATGTGCTATCTTATATTGACATACATAATGATTTGAGTGTAAAAATATTGTTTGCTGCTGGGTATTGTTGCTCTTTTCGTTATGGTTGATTTCTCACATAATGGCTTGCCTCATTTATTGTAAAACATTAAGGTCCTAGATATCTTACTAGTGTTCAAAACACTGCAAAACTCTTTGCGGGTAGAAGTGGAGTGGGGATGGGCGTGGAATGGGAAAACATTGTGCATCATAAATCTGAGGATTTGGATTTGAAAAATAATCTATCACCTGTTTACTCTCCTTGGATGCTGTCTTGCTCCAACCCTAAATAGATTTCAAAATTCAAAGTGTAGAGATAGTTTCCAAGAACTCTGTATAGTGGAAAGAATGCTTACCCCACAGTCAGCCAGCCGCCAGACTTGGGTGGCAAGTGTGACTTTTCACTTGGAACTGAACGAGCTTGGTCATGCTACTTCAGACTCTGTGAACTACAGTTTACTTTCTGTGAAATGGGGATACTCCAACTAAAAGGGATGCTGTGACTTGTAGAACACCTAATATAGTGCCTGACACATCTTAGCCAATAAATGGCAGCATCTCAGACTTCTCCAGAACTGAGCTCTTGATTACCCAACCTTTCAGCTGTTCCTTCTCTGTTTTTCGTCTCATCCATCCAGCGAGTGACTCAGGCCAGAAGGCTGGAGTTATTCTCCACTCTCCTGTTCTATCACCCCCCCACCCAACCAGTTTGTCACAAAGTCCTGTCCACTTTTCTGGCAAAATCTCCTTCCAAACTGTCGGGTTCCCAGTCCCCCGTATGCTACCATCCTAGCTCAAGGCACAATTGTCTTTCCTCATTGCAGAGGCCTCTGCACACACTCCTTCCTGTGCCTCTTCCCACCAGGAAGCCTGAAAAAGAGGAGAAAGTTGCTTGTTGTTTAAAGTCTTCAAAGCTCTTAGGAAACACATTTATTCTTGGGATAAAAATATTAAATCCCCAGCATGCCTACAAGGTCCTGCGTGGTTAGGCCCCTGCCCCCATCTTCATCTCTTGCCAATCACATTGTCCAGTTGTCCAGCAGAGTCACCTCAGGGCTGTTGCTCAAGCTGTTGTTCTCTTTCTTTTAGGACCATCTCCTTGAGTAGTTTCTCGTCCCTGGGTAAGTTTCAAATATCCTTCTTAGAAAGGTCTTCTCTGAGAAGGCCACCCTTATCATCATGTAACTTAGAACCCCTTTATCTTCTCCCTCATACCACAATCATCTTTTCCTTCTTGATATTTACAACAATTTGTAATTATCTATTATTTAGTTGTTAAATGTTTCATTCTTGCCCTTGAAGGCAGGAATAGTGGCTGGTTTATTCCCCAGTCTATACCCAGTGACTGGTGTATATTGGGTAGGTGCTCAATAAGTCGTTATTGTTATAATGAATGAGATAGTAATATCAGTTTTTATTTGTATCTTGATTGCCTTCTTTATCACTGTTAAATCTGCTTTACATAACAGAAAAGCCAGACTAGCACTCTCCTGTGCTCCTTCTTTGCTGGTTTTATGTATAATATGAAACAGCCTTTGCAGATATTGGGTAAAATTAATGCATTTGGGCTCTGAAAAATTCATAGTAATAAATTGGGATACCTTTTAATTAGCTGATTTTAATTAGTGATTTTCTGTTGTAGATAATCCTTTTTCTAAGTACATCATTAAAGTAATTATGCTTTTTTCATCAGCACAGGATTACTGAAAGAAAAAAATCTTACTATGTCATATTACTTACACATGTCATATGATAACACATTAGTCAGCAGTTGTTGATTGCTTCGTGCTGGACTTCAAAGGAAGATAGGGAAAAATGTAGTAGAAAAATGAGAGTTGTAAGGATGTTTCGGACTGTCCCACTGGGGATGTGACTTGCTTAACTAGGTGTCATTTGACCATTTAGTTAAGGTAGAGGAGTAGTTGTTTAAAAATGGAAGCCACCTAGAGATCTGGAAGTTCTTTTTCACTCTCTCACTAAAGCATTCCTTGTTTTAGCCAAAGAAGTCTCATGACTTCCCAAGGCCAAGGAAGGCTTAAAGATTTGTGCGAGTGTGTTGGTCATGTGGTTGCTCTTTACAAAATATTAGTTTGATGCACTATAACTCTGAAGCGCTTATGTCTTTGTTATTCATGTTTCTAGCCTCTGCTTCTTACATAATCACCCACATTTCCTTTTGACTTGTTCTTTAGAACTTTAGTTTCCTTTTAGAATTTTCCCTCACACCCTTAGAATATAATGTCAGTCTTCTTCTGGTTTTGTGTCTTGTAGGGCACTAAGTATACAGGGAACTTGAGAGTCTATTGTGGTCCCTTCCAGATTTATTTCTTTGCACTCAACCTCTGGTTTTCCCCAAAATGTTATGCCTCTGCATGTTGTGGACCCCGAGTTTTTGCTAGCCGGGAGATGGATGCCCTTGGGTCAAGAGAGCAGGGAGCATTAAAGCAGCATTTTTAAGCTCCTGTCATGTGCCCTGGGCTAAATGCTCTCACAAAAGAAGAGTGAGTAGTTCACCTGATCAAAATCTTCAAAAGCAACCTTAAGCTTTTCCTGCATTTGCTTCACTCAAAAACATTATCTTGTTGGCCTCTTATTTCCCCACCCTTTATTTACTAGTCAGGAGGGCATGACTGGATAGAGATGCCCTCTTTATCCTTTACCTTACCTTCGTGCTTATTTAGACCCGATTTTACTCATCTAAAAATATTGAGAGTGGGGCCAGAGAGGGGCATACCATGTGATTTGCCTTTGTGGTAGGCCGGTGTGCCCCCAGGACATTTGCATCATGAGTAGCCACCACTGGGAAGAGAAGAAAGTTATGGTTGGGAGCCCTTGTTATTTTTTCTCTCATGTATATGTGCTTGCTGGTTACTTTGAGTGACCTGGAACAAGCTGCCTGGAGTGTTTTTAGCACCAATAATATTACCTATTTATTTCACAGCCTTGCTCTATAAGATTTAGAAGACTTATTTTTGGCAGTGTTTGTTTTTGTCACATTCAGACATATTACAAAGCTCATTACAATTAATTCCAGTGCTGTCTTGGTCTTATGCATTAAGAAAAATATTTTCTTATTCAGTAGCATATGGTTTACTCTTTGTTTTGATAAGAAATCAGATATAAATACAAGTTGTAACAAGAGAAGAGTTTGGATAGTTTTCCACCAGGTTTTAATCATGTGGGTGATATATTTTGTAACTCTTGTTAACGGTCATTGGCTTTT